GAAATCTACTCAAATTTACAAAAATCATTAGATTCATAATGTTTTAAAATTCATCAAAATCTCAATTGAGAACACTCCTTAAGTGTTACAAATCATAGTGGTGACGGCCATAAAGATGGTAAAAATAATATGCAAAATGTGTGTAATACATTGTGTTACAAGTGATGATGGTTGTGGTGGTGCAAACAGGGTGGTGAAATATGGATAATATAATTTTACAAAATATAACATGTTGTATTATAAAATTTATTGTAAAATAACTAGAATAAAAAACAGTAATTTAAAAATAAAAAGGAGTTTAAAAGTAAATATAAAATTAGTTCCTTTATGTACGATATTTGTGAATGAGAAAATTAGAAGAAACCATGCTTTTGAGTTTTCATTATAAACAAAAATAAAAAATAAAAAAATCATGTATTTTCTTTTTTATTTACAAATCAATTTAGAAAAATACCAGTTCCATTAATCGTGATAATGTATATCTGATTTTTAATTTTCAAAATCTTAACTATACAAATGACATTCACACTGTTTTAGGCCTCATTTGGGAGTATTTTTTTATCCCAAAAAATTGATTTTTTGATCGTTATTTCACTATTTCAGCCGTAATTTTTGACTTCTTATCTCATAGGTAGCCTCCACTTTTTTCCTAATGATCAAAAAATCAATTTTTAAAATCACTACCAAACAGGCTCTTAATATTTATTTGGAAAGAAACACTTCTTTTTTTTTTAATACCCAGGTGTTCATTTTAGAGCGACTAATCCTTAGGTTTACGATCTAGCCCCTCTTCACGCAGATTAGGTAAATTGCGGGTTGTGCCCCAAACTGGCCAGGTCCAAAAGTCCCCACAACTGTACTACCAAAGTGTCGAGCGAGTCAAACCCATGTATGCGTCTTGCCTTCCAAGGAACTCCTGCCTTCCAGGAGAAAAACTTGCCTTTCAAGAGCTCAATGAATCGAATTCGCGATCTCTGAACTGCCTACTTTGAAGAACTCCGTCATTTGTCAGTTTGGATGTGCCCCAGGCACTTATTCATTCATTCTTCACCTTCATTGTAAGAGGTCACACAGAAATGGTAGATGTTGCCATGGATATATTTTATATTTTGTTGGATATTGGTTAAATAAATCGAGAATTGAAAATCGATTAAAGTGACTTCGTATCGATTTCGGCGAAATACTCAAAAGCTCGACTCAGTCCGTTTAGGCAAAATTGTTTGCCACTTCGCCGCTTCGAGGCTCACAAACGGGGATCGACCTGCCCGGTCAGGTCGCGGGGTCGAGGGGGCAGCTCTCCCCGTGGGGGCTCGGGGGCAACGCCCCCGAAAGAGAATTTTGATTTCTCTACATGTATTGAAGGGTATATTTGGCATTTCGAAAATCAATATCGGATGAATGAGAAATTACGAAAAAGGACAAAAATCAGGTCAAAATATTTGACCGTGCGACCGCATGGTTGGTAAACCGCACGGTTGTCCGGTGAATAGACACCTTTTCATAAAGGTGCATTGTTTGGAAAGGGTGCATGGTTTGGCCTCAACCATTTCGTCCACACCCTTTCATGGTCTATAAATAGGACCCTTTGGGTGTCCTATTCCTCACAATTTGATATGCAAAACATCTCTCATCCTCTTTTCTATTCAAAATCAAAATATTTCATTTATTTTGATTTTCCTTTATTTCATCCTTGGAGTACATAAGCCTAAATTTGGTTCGTTGTACTTGTATTCTGGAGTGCTACAAACACAAGTGTAGCCGTTGTATCTTGGGAGTCGATTGCCGAAATCCGTAGACACCGTTGCGGGGCAAATTCGACTTAAGGACAAAGAGTCCAACTCTTGCCTCGTCTTTGTCCCTACTTTCTTCTTCTTCTTCTTGTTTGTGTTTTCTTTGCCGTTACTCTGTCCAATTTTCGGCACGGATTTACAAACCATCATTATACTTATTTTGGCGTCACTATTCACAAAATTCCTCCAACATATTTTAAGTTACACATTTAGCAAGCCGTAATTTCTCATGTCTCATGATTACAGATTCACAAATTCCCATACCATTATGAATTTCAAACACCTTTCTATTGTGACACAAAATGGTGGTTGCGACATATTGTGACATGTAAAAATTGTGATGGTGATTAGAAAATATGTGGAGGAAATTATGAATTCATGTAATCAAAGTTTATTTTTTGATTACTCTAAAAAATGTTAAAATGGAGCGTACATTAATTGCGATAAATTTTTATCGAAGGAATAAGTTGGGAGACAAAATTCATTGTTCTTTTATAATAATCAATTTAGGTCATACTATTATTTTATATAAATTAATTATTATCTATTCATATAATTTTATTTTTTGGAATTTATGACTTGAATTTTAAAAGCCTTTTCTAAAAATATAATAATTATGACTTTTTTCCATTTATAAAACTTTTCCAATTACAAACATGAACTCCATCAAATAATATATAACAATTCAAGGATTGTTTGATCACTATATATATATTTTTGAAATGCATTTTATAATAGTGTTATGTTGGATGATGTGTAATTAAAAAATAAGAAAAAATTTTAAATTTACGTGTAATATTATTTTATTAAAAAATATATAATTAAAATAGGGTCATATCACTGTTCAAGAATACATTTTTATGGAAAAATAGGACTCAAACGGATGCTCAATTTCCAAATAATCCTAAGGGGCATTTCAGTATTTTCACATATCAGTCCCCTTGTCTATCCCCAGGCCCCTCTCGTATCTCGTCTCTTTATTTTCCTTGCACACGCAAAAACGCACACACAAATAGACAAGGGAGAAGGAAAAATTATCGCCCTAATTCGACTCGACTCGACTCTTCGCCCAATTAATTTGTTTATCGAAATAAAATATTTTGTATTCTATTTCATATTGTGTTTTTTGGTTACTTAAATCTTATTTTTGTTTGTGTTGTGATGAAATTAGGGTTTCGTATCTCCACACCTTCGTCGTAGTGTGTGGGTTTTTTAATTGAAGTTCCTACGCTGCGAATCGTGTCGTATCGTATCGTAATCTGTGAGTATAAACTCAAATGTTATTTCTTTGTTGTTTCATTTATTATTCTTTTGATTTGGTTTTCCATTTATGCGTAGAATTGTTGAAAAAAAATAAAATAAATCATTTTTTACAAAAAATAGAATTCGCTTGGGATTATTGTGTGTAATAAAGTTATTTTCTGGGTTAAATTTTTGACACGGAGAATGCCCATCTTTCTTTTAGCAAGCTGTATCCTTTCTCTGCTTTTGGGATTAGAGTGGTGTTCTTGAAGCCTAGTGAAATTATCTCTGGCTGATGGGTTGACAGATCATCTAAATTTTGGGGTGGTGATTAGAAAAATAATTGCAATTTTTTGGGCGAAGAGGGGGGGGGGGGGGGGGC